AATTTAATAAATAGAAACATAGTTGAATGTACCAACTTAAAGTAAAAGTTATGATCTTCAATCACTTCTTCTTCCTTGGATGCTAAACACTTTAATTCTTTTGCTTGTTGTCCTCCAAAATTTGTCTTCTAAACCCTCCAAATCTCTAGAAGAACTCCCAAAATCGTAAGTGCCAATGATATATATATATATATATATATATATATATATATATATATATATATATATATATAGTTTTTGGAAATTACCTTGCTCACGTCGTGAGATAGGGAAGCTCACGCCGTGAGCTCAGTCATAATCCGTATCGAACACAAATTCTATCCTCCGAATGTTTATCTTCTAGAATGTTGTTACTCACATCGTGAGAGGTTATTTCTCATGTCGTGAGGTCGTCTTTTAGCTGAAATATTCATCTTTTAATCTGCAATCCTCCAAAGTTCCGCTCCTGTTGCTTTTGGTCCTTTTTCTTCAAGAATGCTCATTTGGTTGCAAATTACAATTAAATCTTATAGGTACCATATATCCTTGCAAATAACCAAAATATTAATAAATATGTATGAAAATATTGCCTAAATGTGTATAAATATGGCAATATCATACACACACACTTCGTCTTCTTCCCTATTGAAACACATTGAAACCTAAATTAACATTCACAGATACATACATATACATCAACTCATAAAAAACACACATATGCAACTCAAAAACACACAACTACAACTCAAAACACACATACATACACACTTTTAACTCGGTCACACATATACCCAATAGCATATACCACGAACTCAAAACACACATACACAAACCTTTTTTAAAAACACATCGGCAGCCCACCCCTAACGTCGACCTCAGTTGACTCCAAAGACGCCTCCTCCATCGTCGGCTTCATCAAATCCATTCTCAAGTTAATCCAGTACCTAATTTCTCCTTTTCAAGATCATACGTTTTAAAGTAGTAGCAATTAGAAGTTCCCCTTGCTAAATCTTTCACACCATGCATTCTGTTACACCTTGCCTTCATTATCTTTCAACATTCACCTAATTCTCTGAATTATCTTGATGAATATGGTTTGCCTGCTCATATATTTACAAACAACAATCACAAATTTTGGGAATTGATCAATATGAAAGTTAAGGTTCTGTATTACTAGATCTACATATAATGAATTCAAGAAAATTGTCGAGTTCAAGAGCATTGATGAAGAAGGGCATACATGTCACTCATAGGCTTTGTGAAGATCTGAAGTATAGTCTATTGATCATCTCTATCGACTTATATTTCCAACTCCACACACTCTTTAATTTTTTCATCTGTCAATACATCTCTGACTCCATTCTTCAAATTTAGAGAGTACGATGTCGTTATTTCCAAGGGCGATCAGGGAAGAAGAGGGAAAAGCATAGTGAGAGACGTTGATGGAGAAATGTCGGACTAGAGGAGGTAGGTAGATTGGAGTTCTGAACGATATGTATGCCAAGGCACCATAAGAAACATTGGGCAGTGTTTGTGGCTTCAGAGCACCAGAACTCAATGTTGTGGAATCATTTGACTGAGAATTTGCCAGACATGGGATTTGCTCATATGAAGTCGTTGAAGCCATTAGGGCTTCTTGACAGGAATGGAGGCAATGAAGTCGACATCTTATTGATGAGAGAGAGAGAGAGGGAGAGGGAGAGAAATGGGGGGGGGGGGGTGAGAATGTATGGTTACGGGATGAGGATTGGTGGGTTGATTAATTCTTATTATTATTATTATTATTATTATTATTATTATTATTATTATTATTAAGCAGCAAATGTATTAATATAGATTTAAAAAAAAAAGGGAAAAAAAGGAAATTTAAATTGCATAATCATCTTTTCAAGTTTTTTTTGGACAAAAAACCACAAGAAAAAACTTGATTTTTGACCTTCTATGCAAGTAGGAAAATTTTTGAACCCCATCCAAAGTATTTTGAATACCACATGACCAATCTTGCACTTTTGTCTTAAATTTAAGAAATCAGTTGGATATTAACCCTTCTTCCATACTACCTTCATCTTTGTGTGCATATGGTCGACGACCCCTACCCTCCTTCCTCCAATAATTCCCAATAGTTATGCCTCTACCACCACCAACGGACCAACCTCTAAAACCTTCATATATCTATTGTTCTAGTCTCGTCAAAGACAACCGGTGAAACAGGCCTAAAACTAAAAGAGATCTTGGAGAAATACAGTTGTCGGGATTTTGATTGAGTTTACCACCGAGAGTAGCATTGATGTCATTGATTGAAACTTTCCATTTCGTAATTGCATCACTTTTGTCAGGCTTATTATTCTTCCCCTTTGATTCAACAACATGCCAAGACTCCACATTTCTTTCCTCACTTATTTCCTCTATCAAAACAAACCCTAAAATTGAACCCAAGTGGTATCATGAAAATCCCCTAAATTTTGACAAAATTATCCAGTTTCGAAGCGAAATCTTTATGAGAAAACAATAATCATATGTTATAATCAAAGCCCATCCGAAGAAAAGATGGGAGATGGTGACACGTTGGTTAAACGCCGGATCACATGGCTGGAGAAGAGAAAAAATAGACTTTGACTCGTACACAATAGAAAAAAAAATTCCCTCAAGAGCACCCACTACCCGGTTATGTCTACTATTCGCAAACGATGAAAGAAATCTCACAAAAGAATGACTGGTTTAAAGCTTCACCAACAAAATCAAAATAAAACTAAAAGGAATTATATCAATCTAGAGGGGGTGTATAGGTGACTCTAGGGTACCAAACTTTGTGTATGTTTTTAATTTTGAGGGTATATATATTTGTATGTGGGGGTTTTATTTGTAGGAGTGTGTATGTGTGTGTGTGTGTGGAGAGAGAGAGAGAGAGAGAGAGAGAGAGAGAGAGAGAGAGAGAGAGAGAGAGAGAGAGAGAGAGAGTAATTCTTTTTTAGTTAAAATAGTATTAAAAAAAATAAAAAAATGAAAGAAAGAAATTGAAAGGGCATTACAATCTTCTAAGTTATCCAAGAACCAAAACCATAAAAATTTTCTAATTTTGAATTTTGGTTAAAAACTTTTTGGATTCTATCCACTGTTTTTTACATAGCATAGAGACTAATTTTACAATCTTAACTAAACATTTTATGAAGACTATTTAATGAAAAATTCATATATTCCTTAACCTCTTCATATTCTATATGACCACTGCTAAACAAAACGATGCAACCAATAAAATTCAAAAAATTCTGTCCCGTGCAAAGCACAGGGCTCTCTTACTAGTTTAAGATTAGATAAAAATGTAAGTTGGTCTTTCTAAAAAAAATGTTATTTATTTATTAAATAAAAAAACAAACAAAAAGTTCTTTCCCCGTTTATCACATCTCTAAATGCGACATAATTAAAATAATTGTTATTTATTTATGAAATAAAAAAACAAACAAAAAGTTCTTTTCCCCGTTTTATCACAACATATATATATAGATGTCATAAACGCGACATAATTAAAATCTTGTTGTTTTCCCTCTCAAAAGTAGTTGAGGGCTATTTTGTAATTTCCCAATCAGTGGAATGTGTACTGCGCACTCCGCGTACCTTAGAAGTCTTCGTATGCCTTTGACATCACATTTCCTCATTTAAACTTGGCAACTCAAAAGCACAACCGACATCCGTTTCCAAAATATATGGCACGTATACATTTCCCCTCATGTCGACATAAAACCCACCAATGCACAAAATACAACATGCATTGCGATACGTGGCACGAACCCTCAAATTTCAACCTTATTCACGATGACATTAGAATTATGGAGTATTTGACATTATAATTATGGAGTATTACAAAATTGACTTTTTTTTTTCCTTATATTTTTGTCCGTAATTTCTTTCACACATGTGTAAGAAATCCCCATCTATATAGTCCATCATGAAATAGAAAATGACAAAAAAGTCCCTCGACTTTTTGGCCACTTCTAGTTGCCCATCACTTTATTGGTGTGGATTTGGTATTTTTCATAATTCACGATGAGTTGAAAATGATATGAGATTAAATATATAGATACAAACTATCCTCCGATAAAAAAAAAACATTTATAAAACATTATCCATTACACTTAGTTGAGTTTAGGTGAGAATATGTTGTTTGGTAGGATCAATACTCAATAGTACTATATTATGTGGCATGTATATACAAATTATGTTCTTGTATTAACGTTTAGTTTTTCCTTACCAATAAAAAGGGATTTGCACTTATTTATTTATTTATTTATTTATTTTGCAACGATTAAGGTACGCACAATGGATATCGACAATTACTACATAAATGTTTTAGTTGGAATTAATTAAATTCCATAAAAAATATATGAGTTATGTAAAAAATAAATTGTTACAAAGCACATTGAGACATTGCTACTAAAATTTACGAAGGAATTACATGTCGCTAATTTTTTTTTCTTTCTAAAAACCCTATAATGGCTAATGCAATGTAGACTCTGATTTTTTTTAAAAGTTGTATATGCACCACTATTGATAATAAATTTATGAGAATATATTACCATTACAATTGTTTTTACACTACATAAAATTTGGTGTAGCCATTGTAATTCAATGGGGGAACAACTGAGTATATAGTTCAAATTAATGACCTATATTTCCACCTAAAATTTCAATAATTTAGACAAATATAGTTAGACACAATGATTCCCATTAAGTTTATTAGATTTTTAAAGAAAACAAAGCATATAAATACACATCATGCAAACTTTATGTCGCAGACATTAATGATACATGTCTAAAACATCAATGTAATAAAGTACCCTAAAATCTTGTCTAAAAACAATATAATAAACTAAAATACTGGTAAAGTATACTTACAAGGGCGAAAATGAATTTATTACGAAGTATTTGGACTTGTAGAGTCAAATGGAAAGAGTTTAAGGAGTAATAATGTAAATAAATCCTAATCAAACGGCAGATCGTTAACGACTTTACTCTAAAACCATATTTGACGGCCATCGCTCGTCCAATTCCTCCGTAGAAGAAGAATCGGATTCTCTCTCTCTCTCTCTCTCTCTCTCTCTCTCTCTCTCTCTCTCACTATATAACCTTTTTCTCACCTGGAGCAGACACTTCTTTCTCTCTGGTGTCTCCGGCAACCGGTGAATAGGTATGTTCTGTGATATTAGTTTCTGCTGGTTGCAATTTTGATGTGTGCAGGTGCGTACATATATATATGGATGCAAATGATGCATTATTTGTATATGTCTACGAGGATTGCTTGGGGTTTTCGTTAATTGGATGCTATATATGTCGAAATAATTAGGTTTTTTAAATTTTAGTTTTGTCATTTGATAAATCGACTGTACTATGTGTTCATCGGCAGTTATTTCGGATCTCTACTTGCTATTAAGTGTTTGATTCGCTTTATTTCTAGGGTTACTGTGACTGATTACCAACTTTAAGCTCCTTCCTCCTGCAAATTAGCAGACGCTATCTACTCGATATATTTTTTTTCTAGGGAATAATTTTTAATTGTTTCTATTAATCAATTTTTTATCTATTATCATGCGTTTCATTGATTGTAGAGTTTTCTAGGTATAGAACTCTGGTAAAATTGTTGGAGTAGAAAGTGAGTTTTGTTAAATCATTATTGAATTGGAAATTATCTATATTTAGCTCCAAATTGCATGGTGTTTCACTGTTTCAAGCTGTTTCTTGCATTTCTAAACCATACTTGAATCAGAAACATGACCTGTTCATTTACAAATATACCGTATTTGTAATTAGCTAATGCTTATTTGGCAGTGATCGTTCATTTATCCTCATTTGGTGATTTAATTTGATAGGCTCACATCATAAGGTAGTAGTAGTACTACTGCTACAGACATATGTGAGACTCTAAACTTGTATCTTCTGTTATTTTTGTCTTTACATGGGTCCAGACTCCAGACTGACATATGCTTAATTGAGCTTGTATTATTGACTGAAATAGTACCATGAATTCAATATTTAAGCAGAATATCATATGCTTTCCATAATTTATTAATGATTTACTTATCCAAACAAAGAGCTATTAATGTCTGAATTATTGTTCAATCAGCCCCTCTGTATTTCAGTAAAAGCAAGTCTCCCAATCCCAAACATCATTAAATATGCATCTCATCACTTTCTTATCTTTTCTTAATACATACCCCTCTAACTTTTACAGTTTTACATTAGTTTGTTGCTTAATTTTACTCAATCTCTCCTTCACCCCCAAAAAGTCATCCTCTTTAGCCATATCCATCTTCAACCTTCCATCATTTCAATAGTTTTTGCTAACAAAATCATCATTCTCATGAATATTCAGATCACAGAAGATGGTATACTGATTGGCGAAAGTAATTGTTACACATTTTGCACGTGAGTGAAAATGGGGTCTGCTTGTTGTGTTGCTGCTAGAGACAGAAGAGCTATAACAAATGGATCAAGTAGTGATGTGATCCCAAGAAATATCCGGTATTCTCCATCATGGGGTGTTAGGTGGGAGAACAGGAGGCGTGTAGCAGGTGAAGAAGCTTCCATGACTTGGTATTCTGATAGTGCTACTGTTGCCACAAATGACAGGCTGGACAATAAATCTCAAACAACAGTTGGAACTGCTTATGCATCAGAAGAGGGTAGTCCATTGGAAAGTTTTAGAAATCTGACGTGGCAAAAGTCATCACCTTCTGAAGGATACCCGGTTCCTCAATCAGGTAAATTTATCTCATTAAACAAAATAGACCATGGATTATCTCATGTTTTTCCACTTGTCCTTTCAGAAGCTCAATCTCTCTCTAAAAACCCAACCAAATTATCATCCCCATCCACACAGACACCCTTTTCAGCATCCCCACCCCCACCAAGACATCCCACATGTTCCCCGGGTCGCCAGGTGTCACACAGCCGGATCCCATCTACAAAGTCCTCAAACCTCTCAATCTCAGAAGAAGGCCCCGGGTCCGGGTGGAGCAACGAATTAAACCGTGGATCTTCAGACGGGTGGTCCATATCCATACCCATACCCATACCCGTACCCGTACCCGCTTCCAACGAGTCATTCGATAGCGAGTCATTGAACTTTAAAATGAGCCGATCAAGTGGGGGGGTTTCGTCCATTGATATGCAGACATGTGGCGCGTGTTCCAAGCTGTTAAGCGAAAAGTCGTCATGGGGAACACAGAAGATTATAGCGAATAATGAGCTGGCGGTTGTGGCTATTTTGATATGCGGGCATGTTTATCATGCAGAGTGTTTGGAAAATATGACGGATGAGATCAACAAGTATGATCCGGCGTGTCCTGTTTGTACTTTTGGTGAGAAACAGACTTTTAAAATGTCGGAAAAAGCAATAAAAGCGGAGATGGAATTGAAGGCTAAGATTAGTAGGAAGAAATCAAGAACTAGAAGCCGGGTGGTGGATGGTGATGATGATGATGATGATGATGATGTTATTATGTTTGATAATAGTGGTAGCAAGAGTAGAAGCCATAATCATAATAATAAGATGAGTTCAAGCTCTAGCATGAAGAATTCTATGGGGAAACCAAAAACGCCTTTTTTAAAGAGACACTTCTCCTTTGGTGGTTCCAAAGGGAGTCGATCCATGTCAATGGCTGATCATGATTTTTCCCGGAGAAAAGGGTTTTTCTGGACTAAGTCAAATAAGGAGTGACCTCACCTCACCTTTTTCCCTCTAAAAGGTACAATATCATTACCAACGTATTATATTGTGAAATCAAAGGACTAATGTTGACGTTTGAAAACAAAAATTGCATTTTTTTGTCCCAACTTTGATTCCTCTAGATCTCATGTTTTTGTGTGAAAGACACGTAATCAATGCATGTTTAATATCATGATATATTAACTTGTGGTATTTTATTTAAGTGGGTGATTTTGTTTTAAAAATGATAGGTATGAGTAAGGGTAGTAGGATTAGCTCCTTGAAGATACTCATTGTAAAGCGGGTTTTGAACTACACATAGGTGGTCATGGTATTGGTAATACCATAACCATGTTCATGATTCATGAAATTTGGTATATATAGCTCATTGGGGAAAAGCTAGTATAAACAAAGGAATTCAGTGAAACTGGTAGAACAGATTCTTTTTTCTTTTTCAAGTGGTGTAAGTTTAAAGTTTGTTTATTGTGTTTTTCTTGCATTATAATTGGAAAAGAAAAAAAGTAAAGGTAATTTGAATTTGGTGAAACTCAACTTGTCAAATGTCAACTTCCGTGTGCACTTTTCATTTTGTTGACTTTGGGAGTTAATTTTTGCTTTAGCGTTGGCCATTCTAAAATTAATTAAACACTTTTCATGTCTTAAAATTAAATAAAAGTATGTACTTTCTAATCCAAATTTGTTTTTTGCCAATAAGTATTTATTATGAAAACTGACAAGGATATCTACTATTGTGATAATTAATAGAATTTTTTTTCTTGTTCTCTTTCGTTGAGTTGGATGTGTTGGTTTATTTAATTAACATTAAATGAAAAATAGTATTGATATGATCTCGATGCTTGAATATATAGCTGAAAATAAGGTGAAAGAATAGACGTGTTAGCTATTTTGTTTCTGTTAATTTAAAGATTTTATTTGGTAAATTTGATTTCTTAGGAGAGGTCCAAACTCCAAAAGATCGTAACGAATTGAATAAACTGGAAAAATAAGTTTCTAGTTATTTTAACCTGCATATTTTAGAATCAATTTGTCAATGATATTAATTACATTACTCTATCAAAAATAACCATATTAACTATGTGAATAATCACTTTAGAAAAGTAGCGATTAGCAAGTGCAAAAACAATTCGACAAAGAATGTTTCTACATTCATAAACGCTGTTGAATATTATCACATTTGATAAACAGATATAACAATTTTTGCAATTTTCATTGGTTTTGAACTTATTTTTTGAGTATTGAACATGATTTTCCTTAAAAGATATTATTAAAAAAAAAAAAACATGTTTGAGACTACATTATTAAATATTTCGAAACCTAGAAAGTTTGGAACTACGATGACTGTCACACTTTTTCATGAGTTTTGAATTTGTTTTTTAGGCGAGATTCGAACTTGTCACGAACTTCTAACTTCTCCTCCTTATATATAACCACCGGAATGATATAAAAACACAACTTTGCTGAAATGTCAAAGAAAAACTCAAATGATGAATTTATAGTAAAAAATTATGATAAATGATGTTAGGGAAGAAAAAAAATTAAAGAATGTTATTAAGTTTTATAATTGTATATTGATATGTATATCATCTCTTAGAGCATATACTATAAATTTTAACATTTTTGGTTTTCTTTTATGATAAAAATAGCTCAGAAAAATTAAAAAAGAAAAAAGAAAAAACATCTTGCTTGAATGCATATATTATGTATGCATGTATGTAAGTATTTGCGTGCACATGTATATCTTAGGTCGATGCCGACAGGTATGATCATCACACCATTCATGATCCATCAGTCATGTATGCCACTACCTTAGTACATATGAGAGAGGGTTGATGTTCACCAACGTAATCAATATGTAGGTAAAAGTTGAAAGAAGATGAATTGAAGAAAAAATAAGAGAGAAAGTCACATAGTTGGATGTGAAGGGGGACACAAAACACCGCACCACCTCAACATCACTCGTAAAAGGGACAGTTTTAAAGTCATGGTTGTTCGTTCAACTCAACATCACGTATGAGTCATGGTGCTCACACCATCAACCATATTGTACACCATATGTCGGAGCTACTAAGGGGGCATCCCCTACCCTACACACACAAAATAAGTATATGAAATCGGATAATAATAATGATAATAATAAAGATGATGATAGATAAGATTTCTAATTTGAATGTTGTGTTTATAAATTGAAAATACAAAATTGAATACGAATTCTGCTATTCAGAAATATAAATTTCAACAAAGAAAGCTCCGGGTCTCATGTTACACACAATAACTATGTTTTATTCATAATGGACAATGCCCTATTTGTAGACTCTTCAAGAGTCTGATACAAACCGATTTACATTATTGCAATCGTATGATTGCAAAACATGAAAAACGAATATTTTACATTATTGACACTTACACTATTACTATTCTTACATTATTAACGATGTATAATTCTTAAACAACAAACGACAAACAACTATTTATAATTATTATTCCTTTAACAACGAAAGGACAAATATTTCTTCAATGAATGTCTTTGATCGTCATTGCTTATAGCTCATTGCTTATGTTTTTTTAACTAAGAACATGATAGATCTTGAAACATCCCAAAAATACAGTCAAAAAATTTCGTTTTCAAATCATTAAGTACAACTATAGTTATCAAATCTTTCATCAAACATAGTCAATATCTCAAAACATTATAATCAGAGTATCAATTTATCAGAGTAAAACATCACAGGCTAAAATCAATGGTGTATGTTATGCAGTCATCCCGAGTTCTTCCTTCCGCTACCGGGAGTACATGAAACCAAAACTGAAAACTATAAGCACGAAGCTTAGTGAGTCTCCCCAAGCTACCACATACCATACACATAACATGCAAATAGGAAATACATGCCCCGCCCACTCTCATGGAGATTCAGGCTCTGCCCACACCCTGCTGTCTAGGAGATTTGGGCCCCACCCATACCCTACTGTCTAGGAGATTCGGGCACCGCCCACACTCCGCTGTCTAGGATATTCGGGCCCGCCCACACTCGGCTACTCTGAGATTTGGGCCTCACCAACACTCAGCTACTGACATGCATACATGTTTCACACAGACAACAAGTATCTCTAATTCTATTAAACAGACACATAACTCTACTCAAATAATACTACAAGATTCAAGCCCCACCCACACTCGACTACTATGAAATTCGAGCCCCGCCCAAACTAAGCTACTAACATGCATACAAGTATCACACAGACTACAAATATCTAATTCTATCAAACAATCACATATCCATACTCGAATAATACTATGAGATACGGGCCCCGCCCACTCTCGGCTACTATGAGATTCGGGCCCTACCCACACTCAGCTACTAATATATCATATATACGGGCCAGACTTGGTGCCTTAGACTCGTTCCTACTGAAGGAAACTCACCTCACACTGCTGAAGTCCCGCAAATAAATCTCGGGCTGCTGGCTGACAGATCTCCAAGCTGTCAACATAAAAACAAAACCCAATTAACTATTTGGGTTTCTAATACATAATTCTAAAATCCCCACTTGGGGTAAAAAGACCATTTTACCCCTAACCTAGCTTGGTCCAAGATTAAGGCCCAAACTCATACTCTAAAGGCTCAAAAGTCAAATAGTCAACCAAGGCCCAACATATGGCCTAATTTTCCAAACTTGGCCCAAAATCCTCACATGGTCTTACCTTAAGGCCCAACCATTTGTTCTTGGTCCAACACTTAACATTCTGATGGTCCACTAACTCATAATCTTCAAGGCCCAATTATGGCCCACCTATGGTATGAGTTTCCAAATTGGGCCCAAGCATGTCCAATGGGTCTTACCTAAAACCCAATCTAATTATTCTAGTCCATACTTGTTCTTAGAGGGCCCATCAATAGTCCAAACATCTAGACCCAATAGAAAAGGGTCCAACTCAAAACCCAACACAATTAGGGTTTCCACATGAAATGATGATTAGGGTTAAGTGTTCTCACTTAACCCATTAAGTCCATTATTCCATTAAGCCAACATACAATGGAATTGGCATAAGTCATAACTTCAGTTCACTGGCCCAAACGCGGGTCCCGATAGGCCCAAACCAACAAACCCATAATTAGGGTTTTCTAAACCATAATTAGGGTGTCTAACCCAAGCACATGCCAATGAAGTCCATGATCAAACTATTGGGCCAATTAGGGTTTCACTATGTTGAGCACCACCCGTTGCCACCACGGGCGATGGTGGTCGACAGCGGCTCGCGGCGGCAGCCACCACCTCACAGCTGCGGTGGTGGTCTTCCTTCACTTTTTACTAAGAAAAATTGCTATAACAATTATCAATAGAACACACACTCACACACCATACTACACACACAGCCACCTCTAGACGGTGGCTGGTGGCGGCAATGAGTGGCAGAAAATGGCAGCCACCATGGTTGGTTGCCATGGCGGTGCGCCTACCTCCGGCCAACACTCTACATGAGTTCTAGCAACAATACTTGTAAAACATAACATGAAATGACCACTCTCAGCCACCCACTTGGTGGCTGACGACGTTGAGATTAACAGAAATGGCGGCCAAGTCTGGCAGCAAAAGAAACAACAACATCGCGCACATGAGGAGGAATTACCGAGATTTTTGTTGTTATAATTCTGAGTCTAGTAAGTTTTTATTAAGTTTTTAATAATGCACATTTTTTTAACAGTTAGCAAGAATAAATCAAAGCCATGTAGGCTATGCAGTCCGAGTCTCATGTTAGGTAAAGTCAGTTGCTACTTAGTCGCATTTTCTTGTGTATAAATAGTTTATGCTTGTGTACGTTGAGGATCATCTCCTCCAAATTTACTTTTCAATGAATAAAGCATTAAGCTTGTGAAATCCTTTTGTTTTTTTTTTCCAGTTTTTTCACTGTTTCATTGAAGTCTTGAAGACACAGGTTTGTGAAAAACCTACATTTGGTATCAGAGCCTTGTGGTAGTGTATGCCCAAGTATCAATCTCGCGAAGAGATGACGGTTAGTGGCAGTAGTGGCAACAACGAAAATGGTGAGAAACATGGTCAAGTTACACTCCATTATCTGATGCTGACAAGATCGAATTATGGTGCATGGGCGATCAAGATGAGAGTCTTCATGTTGGCACAGGGTGTCTGAGATGCAGTTGAGCCCATAACTGCAAATACTCTTGTTGAATCAAAGAAGGATAACATGGCGTTGGCAGCCATTTATCAGGGAGTACCTGAAGACCTTCTAATGGTGTTAGCGGAGAAGAAGACGGCAAAAGAAGCATGGCAAGCCCTAAAAACAATGTTTGTGGGAGCAGACAGGGTGAAATCAGCTCGAATTCAGACATTGAAAGCTGAATTTGAAGCATTGACAATGAAAGAGTCAGAAAGTGTGGACGATTTCACAGGAAAAATCACAAACATTGTAAGTACTATGCGAACATTAGGTGAGACGATTCAAGAGTCCTATGTTGTGAAGAAATTACTTAGGGCAGTCTCAAACAAATTTCTTCAAATTGCTTCGACTCTCGAACAATTTGGAGATTTAGACGAGATGTTTGTGGAAGAGGTTATCGGTCGTCTAAAGGCGCATGAAGAGAGAATGAAAGGATTTGGAGAAAGTGATGATCAGAA